AGGGCATAAATGTAAGTGATTGTAACAGATGTGAGTTGAGTGAGAGAAGAAATACTAAAAAATAAAAAAGATTCAACAAAAGACAACAATCTTATAGAAGTATGCTCCAAAAATATAAATGATTGTAGATGTGAAGCTCACTTGAGAGAGAATGAATACCAAAAAAAAAAAACGTGTCAGCAAAAGACAAAAAACTTATGGAAGCATGCATCAAAAACTTCCCAGATACAGATTTATCACCAGTTTTGAGGGGCCAAAGTAAATATTTTCCAAGAAAAATAGATAAGCAAGCAATCAGATTATAATGCTTTTCAAATAAGTAGTTAGTTCATTGATCTTTTCTGCACAATGTTTTTAAAACGGGAAACAAACCAGAGTTTGTGCAGCAGCAGCAACAATGACACAAGTGACCAAACAAAGCTACCAACCTGTATTTCCTTTTCAAGGGCTTTTATTTCAGCATCTTCACTAGCAGCACTTTGAGCATTCTAACAAGAAGCATATTCCAAAATTCAATGCCATTAGCAACTCAACCTTCAGAGAAGAGAGAAGAGTAACTTAACAAGGCTACTACTAACCTTTAGATTATCAAGATGACACAGGGCAAGACAGTGCAATTCTTCCTTCAATTTACAAAAGAAATCGACATAATCATTTAGCTCTGCTTTGGAGGAACAGTCAGTATTAGCCTCTGCAAGACCAATAAAAGAGGCCCGGTCTTCAGCTCTGGTCCCTGAAGAGGCAAATTTAAATTCCCAGGAATCATCATCAAAATCATCATTGTCACCTGCTAAATTAGACTCCATTGTAGCATTGTTGAGGCTCAATCCATTTCCACCGGGGTTTTGGCCATTAATAATGGCAGTACTCTGCTCAGCTTGACTGTACAAACTTGATATAAGATCATTGATAGCAAAGTTTGAATGAGGACTTTTAATGCCATCTATTGGCTTGGAATCAGGCAGCTCAGATGAAATGTCTTGATAACTCACAGGATCATTGGAACCCTCTGCTTCATCACCAAAAATGGACAAAGGCAGAGCTCCATTTTGACTGATTGACCTTGCCATGTTTCCCTGATAAAGAAGAGCAAATGATCATTATATCAGAGAGCAATATTTGCTCATAGATGCCTGCACAATTAGTGAACTTCACCCTGTCAACGTTTCAAACATAAATCAAACTCAATCAATTTTGTAAAGATGGCAAATAAGAGGAAGATATTATAAGCAAAGGCATCTTAAATCTACTTTTCAAAAAAATAAAATTCCAGATGCACTTGTTTTATTTTTGATGCCACATGCCACGATGTAAACCACCATTATACAGTTTTATTCAAACATGAAGCATTTGAAGTGAGGAACCACCTTGATTTCACCATCAGATGGAAATGCATCCACAGCAGTTGAAACTTCAACAACCTTTGGCTCTTCCTATAGCCAGAAAACAAAAGGTTTCATATGTTTATGTTCTTCAAGAAGTTCAAACACTGTTGAATGCAAAAATAAATAAATAAATAAACTCATCACCTTATTTTTTGATCCAGTTTGTGAAAATGCATCTTTAAATTCCCAAGACTCTTCATCAGCATCAACCCCATCATCTGAGGAGGAATGCAAGCCCCTTTTGGTGTTGTTCTGCTCATTGTCAGAGGATGGATGGGACATGGTAGTGTCTTGAGCTAAAGCAGGGGTGAAATCAAATTCAAAGTCCCATTCAGTAGATTTTTGAGAGGTCTGTTGTGATGCACCAGATAAATCACCAGCACCAAGCATCCCACTACCAAATCCAAATGCATATGTAGCTCCCTCTGAGTTTTCCACCCTTCTCCCATCACCCTTCAAACTAAAAAACGTAAGACTTGATAAACCAAATGACATGACAGAAGCAAAGCACATATCCATATTTAACAGCCCTTGTCATACAATTGCCATACAGTTTTAGCTACAGACACTAGAGGTATACAAAATTTTAGCTATTTCAAGGGCACATAATTAAGCAGCATTTATGCAAGAATGATCAAAAAGAAAAAGAAAAAAAGATACCTAAGTTGAACACGAGTTCTGTCATGCAGCCACAATTTTGTGTTTGCACGTGTTCTCATAAACCAAATATCCACCAGCATGTCCTGATTTATTGATGGTTTTCAATCTTATTAACTTGAGGTTTCTAATCCCTACTACGATATGGAAAACAGTACAAGCAATATTTGTACAAATTATCTTCAGTTGCTGAGAAGTGAAATGCCAATCACAGATGCTTCATTGTTAATTAGGACTGACAACCAAACAAGACAGTTGGAATTTTAAATTTACTAAACTGAATGGAAAGTGAACTAAAATTGAAATATATCTAGTAAATCATCACAACTGTGCTACCTTAGTATTCCCATCTCCAGTCCCAAATTCTGATTCAGCAGCCTTGAAGTCCCACTCATCATCTCCACTAAAACCCTCATTTTCATCAAGTGAAATTGGATTCATCTGTTTTATATCTGAATTCACATCATTTAAGTTTGAATTTGTTAATCCATCCAAACCATTCCAGGTTGAGTTGGATCCATCATAACTCAATGTTGGCTTGATTTCAGTCTTGATCTGCTCACCCTGAACATATTGCAGATGAATTTGTTAAACCAAGAGCAGAACAGAAAACAATAATATCCCTACTGCTAAGATGCCAAAATTGACAAATCACTCTTCGTCAACACAAAGACACATGCTCAACTAACATGAGGAAAAATGTTAGAACTAGATGCAACACATTAAACTAGGTGCCACATATTCCAACTCGGATGACATGTTAAATTATTTTTCAAACTTAATCTAAGGCAACCTCAAAATATCATTGCAGTCATCAAATCAACACCAAGACTCACAAGCTATCTAATTCTCTTTCTCATATTGCAGAATTTGAAATGAGTCGAAGGTGGAAAGAGTTGATCAACACATTTCATAGTTTGAAAGCTGAGTATACAAAGTTTTTTTTCTAACTTTTCCTGACACAGCTGTTTAGCTTACATGAGGTGATATCCTGATTGTTTGGAGAGCAAGACAATCTACATCTTGAATTCAATCTCTTTAGATAATATATTATTCGTGTACATGTCTTCATTCTTCCTCAAAATAAAATTTCTTTCTTTTATGGAAAGCTAAAAGCAAAGTATATAGTTGAAAACATGCAATTCGCATGTACTCAGAGAGAAAACTATCCAGTATACAGTAAATATCAATCAATAACAAAAATTAACATTTTACCTTCTCTTTTTCATCTCTAACCTGCATTTTGGAACCAATTTCTTTGAACTCCCACCCATCGCTGTTACCAAGTGCTCTATTTCCATCAACCGTTCCCTTATTCAACCAATCCCTACTTGAATGATCTCCATTAACATGCGATGTCCACCCATTCAAATCCAAGCTCAAAGGGTTCCAACTTGAATTTAATCCATTAACATGCGATACCAATCCATTCTCAGTCCTCATTTCACCAGCCTGATTCCATAAATTTCCATTCACAAACATCAATAAAACAAATCCCACATTCAAATTCTTAAACTAAAACAACAAACAAGCACACTTTCCTAATCTGAAAGAAACTACAAATCAGCAGTTGACCCATATAAACCTAACTACTTAACTCACTTAAAATAAACAAACATACAAAACAAAATCAAAACTTTACCTTAGAAATCCCAATCTCCACAACAGTTTTACTGTCTGCACCTTCAAATTCCCACTTATCATCATCAAATCCCTCATTACCATGAACCAAACCGAAATCCACTCCATTTCCACTCAAATTCCCATCTTTCTTAATCAAACTTGATTCCATTTTATTCGAATTCAATCCATTTTCCTTCAAATCCAAACCCAACCCCTTTGAATCCAATTCCCCCTTATTTACACCATTCACATTCAATCCATTACCATTCAAATTTCCCAAATTCAAATCCGGCCCATTAAAATTGGATCTGAACCCATTATTCCTCTCCTTCTCTTTATATAAATTAGCTATCAAATCACTCACAATGACACCTGATCCCTCTTTATTTTTCAAAAAATCAAAACTTTCATTTTTTCCAGGCTCGCCGGAACCTGATCCTTCCTCCTCCTCAATTTCTCCAAATATCGAAAGGGGCAGCGCTCCTTTTGGCTTGTCCCACTGAGTCAAGTTATTAACTAAACTCGGTGCCGATCCAGGATGAGTCAGTGACTCGATCACCTTTTGATTTTTTGTAGAGGATTCAAAATCGGTATTTGAGATTCTGGGCAGTGATAAGGCGTGGGAGGGTCCACTGGAATTGCTGCTGACAAAATTGAAATCCCCCCAATCATCGTCGTCAGTATTGTTGGTGTTGGTGAAATCTGAGCTGTTGATCATGGTGGGATGCAATTAACGGCGTGAACTGACGGAGCGAATATGAAGTCGCTAAATAATTCTTCTTTCTTCTTCATCGTCTTTGTCCACTGCCATTGCTGTTGTTTTGAGAGCTATGTAGCGCACTGCTGGCGTTTTATATTTTTAAGTGCGCATGTTAAGAGCGAGCGCACTGCGGTTTATTTTAGATTTTGATGGAAAGAGTATTAAATTGGGTGCTGATTCTGCTGATTGGACCCAACTAGGGGGGATTTTCTCTCTCCCTCCCCGTAATTATCAATGCTTCGCGTTCGGACCGCTGGCTGTATAAAGTTATTTGGTGCTTTATGATTTTTTTTTTCTCGCTCCATAATTATACCGTCTAAATATTTAGTTGATTTAGTAGAGATATCTTTGTAAGTTCATCTACTTTTAATTTTATTCACAAGGTAGAAACAAGATTTTTATACATGATTGGTTAAAAAAATAAAAAAAATATATATTGCAAATAAAAAAAGTTTTATAGTTAATTTTTATATTTTTTAAAATATAATGTATAATGGAGAACATATCATCCCTGTCTCCACCATTTCTTCTGTTTCAAGATATTAATCACACAGTAAGGGATCAGAAAGCAAGTTAAGCACACAGTTGTTGAAGCACAACTTTTATTTATTTTGAACACACTTTACATGACAAAGAATAATTGAGGAAAATGGATCATTCTGCCCACAAAATAAATCTTCGGCAGAAGAAACAATCACAGCTTATAGATCACTCTTTAACATCTTTACTCTCGAAGCATGCAAACAACACTCAAAATGACAAACCCTAGAAGGAATAGCAAGCAGAAATCACAGAAGGGACTCACAACACTAGATAAAAAAGTATTCCCAGAAACATGGACAGAGCACCAGCCCCTGAAACCAAACCATTTGTGCCTGCAGAGCTACTCCATGTTGATGTATTTCTGTTCATAACAACCACCATCCAATAATCATTAGAGCCAACTCCTGCTCCAGTATAGCTTGGGTCCTTAATGTACTTCTTATACGGGGGTCGAGTATAATTATGAAGCAATGGAACTGCTTCCACTTCATCCGCAGGCGCGCAAACTGGCATCAGGACAGCATCTGTGGCATGGGTAGTGCCGACGCAGTCTTTTAATTGATCAGGGTAGCTGTCTAGTTTAACTTCTTCAACATGAGTGGTTTCGTTACAAGGTTGATCTAGGCTGTCAGCAACCTTATTAGCAAGGCATTTTGCCTTCTTGTTCTTGGTAAGGGCTGGGATGTCCAGGAATAGTGTCCTGTAAGCATTGATGTTCTTGAAGAGTTCGTGTTTTTCATCTGCAAATATACAAGAGACTTACATGGATTAATTATCAGGATAATGCAATGGAAACTAATCTATTTAGACATGATAATTCATTAACATGACATAATTCGAGAAATATTGCGTCTTGCTAGATTGCAGATCATATAAAAACAGCAGAGAAAAAGATTTCTAGCCTAAGAACACTTCAATGCAAGCTGATCGTTTTAGAAAACCACAAACAGATATCAAGGGAGATAGAGAGAGAGGAGTACCGCCACAGCTCAGTACTGCAGAAGAAAACAAGACGATGGCTTGAAAAAGCACAAAGAGGCAGATGTTAACTTGGAGAGAGGCCATAGCTAACAAGTTTAATTGCCCTTCTGAATATTACAGCACAAAGAATTCTTAAGAAGATCAAAGAAGAGAAGATGCTGCAATTAATTTATATAGTGTTAGCTTCTTTATACTTGAATATTTATTCTTTCCTTGTTTAATTGTGCTTGCATTTTTCTTGAATGTGAAGGCTGCTGCCAGATTCTCCTTTATGTCTCTGTTACACTAGGGAGCTGTAGATACCAAACCATGCTTTACGAAAGCATTGGGTTTGGCTTCTATCAGGTTATACAGAAACCGAAAGGTTCTGCTCATAAAAAATTCTTGCCATGCATTTCTTGAGTTCCCTCAGCATTGAAAAAAGTGAAATTCTAAGCTTAAAGATTCTCTCCTTTTTTCTTCATTACCTTCTTCTTCTCCTCCTGAATCTACCAATGTCAATGATACTACTTGAACAAAGAAAGGAAGAAGTAAATCTAAGGAAAGAAAAGAAATCAAATGGACTCCAAAAAGCTTATTCAAGAAACAGATTCAAACACAGAGGAAAAAGAAGCAGAAAGAGGCAGAGAAGCTGCAAGAAAAAAAAAAGGATTTCTCAGAATTTGAGTTAGGCGAGTGGGAATCAATGGACAGCTCAGTACAAAACCTCTCCGAATCCCATGACAGTTTCAAGATTTTGTGTCAAATTCAAATTTCAAGGTTTTAAGTTAATAAAATTTTGACGATTATAAAAGTTCAAGGATACCCAATGACAGTAAAGAAGTGAGGTGTCTTCCAATCTTCACTCAGTTTTTCCTCCACTTGTTTCTCTGTTCCTCTCTGTTCTTTATGCTGCCTCCACTTTTTTTTTTTTTTTTGGCGTATTGTAAGGTCTCTCTCCATCTCCCCTTGTCACCCTAGCTGATCCCCTGGAGTGCTTCTTTAATCATCGGGTACTGCGGGGCAGAATTGGGGCATTAAACGTGTGAATTTAAACTTTTCTATTTCTGATGAAATTGTAGAAAATTAAATTCTCTTTTCAGCGGCATTAATCTTGTAATTTTTGAACATATGAAACTTGATATATGAGCCATAACTCAAGATAGCGCTTGGAGTGCATAAAGTTCAGTTTTGATTTTATTATTGTTTTTTAAGTTGTAAAATAGTAAAATCCTTTATATATTTTTGTAAATCCTGGTATTAGATTTTCAAAATAATAATAAACAACTAGAACTGAGTTGTATAATTTTTTTTTATAATTTAAATTAATCAATATTTGATTTTTTTGTTGTATTTTGTCTATCCAATAATTTAATATCTAAAAAATATATTAATTTTTTATGAGATTAATAATTTTAAAAAAGACTTAAAATTTTAATTAACTTGTGTAATACATTCAAAATATTTCAAAATCAAACACAATGATAAATATACATTCTATAAGTTCCATTATCACTCACCATTCTTGATTATGAAAGTGATTAAGATATTAATTACCCACTACAGGGAAGCTTTTGATTACTATTTATGGTTAGGATAGAAGGGACGAGATGGAGCCAGTGAATGTATTCTCTGACAATCTGTCTCTTTTTAAGGGAAGACAGCCCCTTGGTATATGAATCTAAACCCAAGGAAAAATCAGAATCTTTGAGAGAAAACATAAAATCCGTAATTAAGCTAAAAATTCAAAATTAAATGGGAAAGTAATGAAAATTGTTAAAATAACATCTTACAAGCTTAATTTAAAGTTTTCTTGAAATGAGTGGCATAAAATCTACTTTTCATCAAATATAAAAATGATTTACTGGGTAAAAAGTTGTTTGAGTTTATTAAAAAATTTAAATATTACGTTTCAGAGTTTGGTTCAGTAGTGGAAGGACATTGTCTCCTTTCACTGTTATGAGTTCGAGTCCTAGCGTGCATGCCTGTCATCTTCATGGTGTTTTACATGCCTACTGAGTTTGCAAAGTATTTAGTGAGACGCGAGGATTATTTATGATGCGCGTAAGTTGATCCGGACACCCCATGTAAATAAAAAAAAAATTTAAATACTTTTTTATTAAAAATAATTTTTCTTTATATATTTAGTATCGTTTTTATAGGTTAATATCAAACAAATTTGATGTTGAATTTGTACTTCCAGCTCATAGAGGTATCTGCTAGGCTATCAAGATATTCTAAACACAACATATGGATATCCTATTGAGCAAAACCTTCTTCATCATAATGCCAACGCAGAAACCAGAATTAATTAATGGCCAGAAGCAATCATGTCTTTGATATACATAAAGGTGGCCTAAACTTTGTCTTCTGCTAATGGATCACAAAGCTAATCACACAGCTTGCAGAACTTGCTTTTTATTTCATCTCTTATTCGCAACACACTTTACATGACAAAAAAATAATTGAAAAAGAGGGTCATTCTGCCCATAATTGGCAGAGGAAAACAATCACAAATCATAAACACTCCTAGCACCATTCCTCACCAGGTAAGCAAACAACACTCACATTGCAAACCATTGGAGGAATAACATACAGAAGTTACAGAAAGAACTCATGACACCAGATAAAAGAGCATCCCCAAAAACAAAGACACAACTCCATGACCAAAACCAAGCTTCGAAACCAAACCATTTGCGCTTGCAGAACTACTCCACGTTGAGGTCTTTTTGTTCAAAACAACCACCATCCAATAATCATTGGATCCAATTCCTATCCCGGTAAAATTCGAGTCTTTTATGTAATGTGCATACCGGGTTCGAGTATAATTATGAAGCAATGAAACTTCAGTTAGACCATCCTCAGGCAAGCAAACCGGTAATACTACACCATCTGTGGTATGGTTAGTGTCAATGCAGTTAGCTAATTGATCTGGGTACTTATCTAGTTTAACCTTGTAAACATCAGTGGTTTCATTACAAGGTTGCTCTAGCGTGGCAGCAATGTTTTTTGCGACGCATCTTGCCTTCTTATTCTTGGTCAGGGCCGGTATGTCCCAGTACGATGTCCTGTAAGTATTGATGTTCTCCAAAAGCTTGAGTTCTTCACCTGCAAATAGTATAAGAAACTTAGATGGATTAATTATCATCATAATGCAATGCAATTTTATTAATTTAGCCATAACAATTCATCAATAATGTGATATAATTGGAAAAATATTGTTTCTTGGTACATTGCAGTTCACATCTAATGCGTTTCAGTCCTATGAAAACATCAGAAGAAAATTTCAAGCCCAACAACACTTGAATGCAAGTTGATCATATAGGAACACCATAAAAAGATATTCATGGAGAGAGAGAGAGAGGGAGGGAGAGAGGATTACCGCCATAGCCCAATACTTCAGAAGAAAGCAAGAAAATGACATGAAAAAGCATAAAGAGACAGATGTTAACTTTGAGGGAGGCCATAGCAAACAAGTTTAATTGCCCTGCTGAATATTACAGCATAAGAATTCTTAAGAAGATCAAAGAAGAGAAGTTGCTGGACTTAAATCTGTATAGCTTCTTTATACTTGAATATTTATTCTTTCCTTGTTTAATTGTGCATGCATTTTTCTTGACTGTGAAGGCTGCTACCAGATTCTCCTTTATGGCTTTCTCACACAATGGAGCTGCGGATACCAAACCATTCTTGACAAAAGCAACTACTATCAAGTATTGAGATTCGTCCATACACAAACCGAAAGGTTCTACCTGTATAAATCTTTTGCTGAGCATTTTCAGCATTCTTAAAAGATAAATTTTGAGCTCGAAGATCTAAACTCTCTTTGTTCTACTTTTTCTTCATCGTCTTCTTTCTCTTCCCCTGCATCCATCAATGTCAATGTTACTACTTATTTAAGGAGTATATATATATTAAAGAGCAAAAAGAGGCAGAGAAGCTTCAGAAAAGAAAAGCTCTCAGAATTTGAGCTTGGTGAGTGGGAGTCCATGAACAGCTCAGTACATGGCCTCCTACATGATAGAATAGAAAGGTGGCTTTTAGGAAAGTTGAAAGATTTGTTAGCTGAAGAATTTACAAAAAAAATAATTAATCATGGTGAATCAAAAACCCATTTTGTGAGAGCCGATTCGAAAACCGACTAAAAAATACGAGAGATTGACCTAATGAGGTTTAACTGGATCAGTAACTTGTTTTCCTAATTAAGTTTTGAGTTACAAATTTTCCAAGTCAACAGACTAGACCATGCCGGATTTAGTAATTACAAACTAAACTCAAACTCAAGTTTCGAAGCTAGAATGATCCTCGATGCTTTCCGTGTTTCTTTCTATCAACAAACACTAGAGAATCAAATACACCATACATTTCCAGACCATCTTCCTTGTCCTTCCCTCCACCAAATTAACCTCACTACACGCATAGATAATGCATCTTTCATATCCAACAGGGACACTGCAAGAATAGGTGTCAGTTGATCTCTCCACCATTAAAACATATCGCTATTACATCTACCGATAACGTCTTATTGACATTGCGTATAGAGAAAGATAATAGGTTATTTTTGAAGATTTAACACCATTTTCCATCCTTACTTGCATGTAAGATGAAGCGTAGCGGTTGAATTGTTATCATAAGAGAACGAAAGAACAAGAAGAGAGATCTAAGAAAAAAAACCAGAGCCAAAAGCTTAAGCTATTGTAGTTTAATTAGAAAGAATGAGATGGTAGGATTCTTGATTGCGTAGTATTTAAACTCCTTAACACTGAAATTCTGACAGGTGTGAGAGCATAGTAATTAAGGATGTCAGGTTGTTTGGAGAGTCGGCCTGATAATTAGCAGTATACAGACATTTTTCCCTGAGAAAATTTTCTCTTTCCCTAGTGTCTTGGAA